ATGGCAATAGGTACAGAATGGATGGAAGTACATATGTTATTGTCTCCCCTCTTCCTCATCAATTCCAGTTCCCTTTTCCTTTCTGTCATCCCTTATATTAAAAAATAAAAAATTATATAAAAAAAATACCCAACCTCCCATCTCAGAACAACGGAGCGATCTCCCATCCTGAGATCCAATCTCTGAATATGACGGCCTGGAGGATACTCCTGCCTTCCAAAGCATATTAGACCAAGCTTGAAAGCCATCTACCCAAAGACTCTATGAAAATAATTGGAAATTGTTCAAGGCATTTACAGCGCCACGAAACCTGATTGCAGCTCCAACTTCTCTTAAAACAATACTTACCTTCATTCCATACCTCTTTGATCTGGGATTCTCAGACTCAACCTTATCATGGCCCATCAATCACTCCATTCACAATCAGCGAAACTTTTTTCACACCCAACTTTAAAAAATATTTGACCTCCAAGACAAACAAATTGTATCCCAATGGTCATTACAATTAGTACCCAATTCTCTCACAAACAAATTGTATCCCAATGGCTATGTGTAATGAAAAGCTATTGTCTCTGAAGACAGTCTTTCTGGTGGCAATAATATCTGCCAAATGTGCCAGTGAATTCACAGCTCTTCTGTCAGACCAACCATACCTGCAATTCCATCTAGACAAAGTCACCATGTATTTTGATGTGTCATTTCTGCCTAAGATTGTCTCTGATTTCCACCGGAATCAACCTTTAATTTTACCAACTTTATTCCCTTCTCCTTCTACATCCATCAAGCGCATGCTCCATATGGTGGATGTCTGAAGGTCTTGAGTCTTTTATATCTACAGGACAAATGCATTTAGGAAGTCTTCAAGACTTTTCCTTTGTTTCCAAGGTCCTCACAAGAGTGCTCCAGCTCAGACCATCTCTCATGGGATAGTTCAGACTATTTCACTGGCCCATAAACTTTCAGGCAAATCACCCCCTCAACACTTAAAGGCTCGTTCCACCAGAGCATTATCAACATCCACTGCTCTACACCGTGGAATAGAACTACCTAATATCTGCTGAGTAGCGACTCAGTCCAATCCATCAACCTTTGTCAAACATTATCGCTTTGATGTCAAAGCAAAGAATGATGCTGCATTTAGCACAGCGATCCTGACATCTCTTCTACCGTGACGTCCCACCATCCAGTAAGTAAGCTTGTCAGTCACCCACTTGTGTGCATTCACAGAGGCCACCTACCTGTAACCATGGTTCTTCTAGTGGTCCTCTGTGCATTCACACATCCCCCCTTCCTCCCCTCTGTCCGTCACATTGTCTTTTATATACACTACTACTTTGACAGCGGCAAATTTTTGGAAGGAACTGAGGGGAAGTTTGGAGGGAGGAGCATGCGCTCAACAGGGGGATGTCTTATTGTCAAATCTCTTTTAAGCTCTAGAAACTTCTGAAACGTCCTGCGCAGGTGCAGAACAACCCACTTGTGTGCATTCACAGAGGACCACTAGAAGAACTATGGCTACAGGTAGATAACCTCTCTTTTTTGCACTTTCTGGGGAGATCAAACTCCAAAAGGATATGTCTAATTACTATTGGAAATAAGATGGGTGGATTAAAACAATGTTGATTTGTTCCAGCAAGGCAGACTTAATATTCTTAAGTTCTTTATAGCTGACCTTACATGAACCTCAGCAGACTACCATGTGAGAAAGGAGTAGGTCATAAATGTTTCTTGCCTTGTAAATAATTTAGCAACATGAACTGACTAATCTAAAATCAATATATAAATAATTATGATTTTCAGTTTAATTTTTCAGCCAGTAAAACAAACCTTCAAAAGATAAGGACAAAAATAATTTATCTTCATAAAAAGATTAAAAGGAGAAAAAAAATACATTCTTCACACAAAGGCTTGAAAAAATGGTATGAACTTTTGCAGTTAACATAGAAAGAATTAATGAATGAAAAAAGGAAATAGAACAAAAATCTTTATTTCCCTTGTTTGTTTGTGTAAAATTGGCTTTTCTAATCTACTACCTCCATTAAAAACAAACAAATGTAAAAATCAGTTAGGAAAATACCCAATGACAAATATTTGATATTTCTGCACATGGTAAGAATATGCAAGTGAATGATGCTGAGTGGCTGACAGACAACACGTGACATTTCTTGCTACTGCGCAGACAGCCAGAAGTTTCAGGAAGAGAGAGTCAAAGTCAGTCAGAGTCAGTGTGAGTGTTCGGACGGACTTTGTTAAGCTTCTCCAGTCATCTTATAAAGTGTTGTCACAGAGAAACTTTAAATAAATATTTGATGCACTTGAGGGTTTTAAATTTTGTTATGTCTTGGTGGTCCATGGCACCAAAAGATGTTTAATGGGTGTCCATGGTAGAGAAAAGGTTAAGAACTGCTGAGTTAACTAATTGAGGGTCGAACTTTTGACACAGATTATATTGCTACAATACTGGTATTTGAACACAATGTAAAGATCACTGCTAAAAAAATCTGGGACGTTACTCCTGGAGCTTGGTGTCTTGGCTAATTCTGTGAAGCCAAGTCTCAAGCAATAATAAACTGAGAGTTTATTGGAGGAAAGGGCAACAGGTTTATTCAGGTAAAACAAGTGTGCGCTCGGGTGCCCAGTTGGGTGGGGACCCAGAGATCAACAGGTTTCAAGTTTTTTATACAGTTCTGAAAAAAAAAGAACAAAAATATGCAGCAGCTCCCCTACCTTGACACCAGATCCCTCACCATGCTGGTTAATGTGCTGGTAGTCTCAAGATTAGACTACTGCAATGCCCTCTATGTGGGGCTTCTCTTGGGACTAGTATGGAGATTACAACAGGTCCAGAACATGGCAGCCAGATTGCTGAGTGGAGTTAGAAAACACAAACGTATTTCCCCTACCTTGGCTGCCTTGCACTGGTTACCTATTCGCTTCCGTCCCAGTTTCAAGGTGAGGGTATTAACCTACAGGGCCTTAAACCAGGGGTGTCCAACCTTTCACCTTCCCTGGGCCACATTAGAAGATGAAAATTTGGTTTGGGCCGCACATAAATTTGGTTTGGGCCGCATGGGGGGGGCAGCCCTAGCCATCCTCCGCAGCCATGTTCCAAGCGCGCTTACCGGCAGCTGCGATCTCAGACAGCAGAGGCTGCCAGCTTTGACTCTGGTGGCTTTATGGGGCTGGGAGGGGGTCCACCTATTGACGGAGACAACGCAAAATGCAGTCACGCAGCCCCCCTCTCCCCTCCCCTCCCCCTCCTTCCTTCCCTCTTTCCCCCCCTACCATTGTGATGTACCCCAGCCGCATTCCGGCCACAAGTGCCGGCAGTGTAACTTGAAACTTTGAAATTTCTTTAAAAATAAAAAATTGCACTGGGCTGCATTACGAGCTGACCTGGGCCGCATGTGGCCCTCGGGCCGCAGGTTGGACGAGCCTGCCTTAAACGTTCTGGGACCTCGATATCTGGCAGAGCGCCTCCTTCCAGTTAGATCTGCCAGTCCAGTAAGATTGTCACATGCAGGGCACCTGAGAGTTTTGACCCCGAGAGAGGCCTGGAAAAGAACCACAGAAATCGGGCCTTCTTGGCAGTTGCCCCAAAAATTGTGGCATAGCCTCCCACCCAAAGTTCACCTGGCTCCCTCACTAAGCACCTTGAAAAGTTATTAAAGGCCTGGATGTTCAGACAGGCTTTCCTGGAGTAAACAACTAACGATGCAATAGTATCTCCAATAATGCACTAATGTATATGCTGCCATATTTTATTCTATTAGTTACATTAATGGTATGTATTGTGTTTTTTACTTTGTCCTTCACTTTACTCATAATTTTAATTTGCACTTTAACTCCGATATTGTATTGTTTTGTTATTTATGGTTTTGTTATTGTTGTAAACTGCCCAGAGAAGACCTGGCTGCCAGATGGGTGGTATATAAATCAAATAAATAAATCGATCCTTGAGGAATATATGCACTGGTTACAATTTCTCGCATTTCAGCAAAGCCCATGCGCAGGTCTGCAAGGATTGTTGGGTTTTGTTTCTTCCCTGAGTTTTGCTTCTTCCTTGAGGAATGTTGAGTATTGCTTCCTCCTTACAGGGTCACAAACAATGTTATAGCCATGGTCCCATAATATATTTGCAAATTGGTTGGTTAAGAGCAAAAAAATAAAAAAATAAAAAAGTTCACGGGCTGGGCCCAGCACCCCCAAATAGCCACCCTTGTCCTATGCTTTGCCAGCCCTGCTTAAACCCACTCTAGCAAGGGGGTTTGGAGGAGGAGGGGGGGGCCCGAGCCCTCACCAAAGAGAGCGTCCCCATGTTCTCTCTCTCATTCTCTCTCTCTTCCCCCACCCCCTTGCCCAGCGCTCGCCTGCCTGCCCGCCCGCCCGCCTGCCGGTCAT